TGCATGACGTCACGTGACATCACAAGTTTGACATGTCTGTTTTAAAGGGTGTCTTTTCCACGGTCTCAACTCGTGGCGGCACCAACAGTCCCGCCCAGCCGACCCGCTTCTTCTGCAGCCGAAGGAGCAGCTTCATTCTGCAGCTGAGAATGCTGCTCCGGCCTGCATTTCGCAGAGGCCTTTCCGGAAAGGCCTCTGCAGCCGAGAAACGAGCTACGGATTGAATGCGTATGTCAGGTCCCCAAATCCTTATTGTCTCCCTTCCACATATATATTCCTGTGCTTTGCTTTGGGGCCTGCTATTTAGCTTGGGGGGAGGGGAGATATTTGCTTTTGCTTTCCTTCTTCTACCTCTATCCACTTGGGAAAGGAATGCGTCTCCCTGGGAGACGGTTACAGAGAAATGAAAGCTGGAGAAGGCCTTGAGACGGGCACCAACCGTACTAGTTACCCTTCGTTGTACCACCTGTGGATTGGCTGGATTTCAAACGGACATTATGACTTCGGTGGGAGGAGGAATATTGCTGGTTTGTTTATATCAGTGATGGTGAACCTTTTAGAGACTGAGTGCCCAAACTGCAACCCAAAACCCACTTATGCATCGTCGAGTGCCGGGTGGGTGTGGCCCATTGGCTGGGCATGGCCAATTGGGTGGGCGTAGCTGCGGTGGTAACAGCAGACTGGGTGGGACTAAAAAGTTCAATCAATCAATTTCAACTTTGCAAGATCTTTTTTTTTCCCACGAGAAATTGAAATTGACTGATTGAACCTTTTTTTTTTTGCACACGGCGGAGGCCTAAAGCGAAAAGGTTTTATAAAACCCAGCTAAAGGTATAGGACTGGAGCGAGGGTGCGTATGCCCACAGAGAGGGCTCTGAGCGCCGCCTCTGGCACCCGTGCCATAGGTTCTCCACCACTGGTTTATATCGTTCAAGCGGGATTTTCCTCAGATCTCACCTTGACTTCCCTACTGTCACTGACCCCAAATAAAAGCTTCCTTTTGAGACAATGCCTGTTTCAAGAGTTCTGCTTTCTTGGGTGGTTAGCTGAGGTGGGTCCTTACAGCATAGCTCGGTTCTCCGCTGCAGAGGCCTTGCCGGAAAGGCCTCTGACTGCGAAATGCAGATCGGGGGACGCCGCAGAAGTGGGCCGGTGAGGAGAGACAGGTGTCGATTCAAGGGAGGCCTGGTAAGTAGGTGCAGGGTGCATAGGGCAGCTCCGCCCTCCCACACCCGCCCTAGCTTGACTTTTAGGCCTACGCCTCACCCCAAAACCAGGGCTTATTTTGGGGGTAGGGCTTATATTAGCCCCACACACACAAAAATCAAGCCAGGGCTTATTTTCGGGGTAGGTCTTACTTTCGGGGAAACACGGTATATACTTGGGATGGAACGTTGCCTGGAGTCACAGGAGGGGGGGGCTTGATTGATGCCAGGCCCCACAACAACCCAGGGTGTTAATTCTGAGGGTTTCTTTATTGCTGTTCACCTACGGACAGAACCTTGCTAGATTTAAGCTACTACAGGTAGTCCTCAATTTACGACCTCAACCGAGCCCAAAATTTATGCTGTTCAGTGAGAAATTTGTGAAGTGAGTTTTGCCCCACGTCACAACTTTCCTCACCATATTTGTTAAGTGAATCGTTGCAGTTCTTAAATTAGTAACCCGGTTGTTGAGTGAATCGGGCTTCCCCATTGACTTGGCTTGTCAGAAGGTCACAAAAGGGGATCCTGTGATTGTGGGACCGAGAAACCATCATAAATGTGAGTCAGCTGTCAATCATCCAAGTGTAAATCACATGACCACAGAGATGCTGCAACGGTCAAGTGTGAAAAACGGTCATAAGTCGCTTTTTTCATAAGTAACTTTGCTCATTAAATGAACTGTTGTAAGTTGAGGACTACCTGTATTTGCATAACTATAGATATACAGGTAGTCCTTGACTTACAGCCATAATTGAGCTAAACATTACCGTTGCTAAGCTAGACAGTTGTTAAATGAATTCTGCCACAGTTGTTAAGTTAATCAGCAACGTATGGAAACTAACCAAGGAGAGAAGCAACTTAGAACTAAGGAGAAACTTCCTGACAGTTAGAACAATTAACCAGTGGAACAACCTGCCTCCAGAAGTGGTGAATGCGCCAACACTGGAAGTTTTTAAGGAGAGACTGGACAGCCATTTCTCCGAAATGGTTTAGGGTTTTCTGCCTGAGCAGGGGATTGGACTAGATGACCTCCAAGGTCCCTTCCATTATTATTATTATTATTATTATTATTATTATTATTATCATTATTATCATCATCATCATTACTTATTATCACTGTGTGTGAACCCGGATGTTGGGAGCGGGGTGATTTCTTTACTCATGCGGGTTCTGCCATGATCCTGGGGGGAGGGGGGAGCTATGGGTGCTACAATGCATCCTCTCCGCTTTCCTCTATCTGCCTGCTCTTTGATCTATTTTCCTTGATGTCGGCCTGGGGTAAGAATGGAATATTAAATGTTAAACTTAAATATTAATGGGAAACTAAAAATTGGGAAAAACTAATTAGAACATTGATTGTCTATAAAGATTGAATGTTAAAATAACCAGGATATGTACAAACTAAAAATTATTGATAAATGGAAGAAAGTTATTTTTATTTAACTGATATAATAAGAATTGTATTAGTTTAAACATGAGACAGTAAACACTAAGGGGAAAAGAGAGGAAATACTTCATGTAGTACTTCATGAGACTTGTACTAAAGATACTTGTATGTTATTGAATTATTAACTAAGCTGCCACGTTGCTTTTTAAATATTTAAATGTAAAATTAGAAAATCAATAAAACCCCATTCTCACAGTGGATTCACACCTGGGGATCGGGCCATTTGAACTGGCCGGTTGGATTATTGGGGCGGGGTTTGCCAGTTACTCTTTTAACCTATTGATTCGTGAGGGAAACTCTCAGACCCTGCCTTTTAATGTCTGCTGTCAACGTCTCCTAATAAAAGTTCCTTTTGGAGTAAAAGGCGAAAGATTTATACGATCTGGAGAGAAACCGGAGTTTTGACTTATTAGAGGGGATTTCATATTATTAATTAGAGGGCTAAAGGGAGAAGTTGAGATAAGGAGAATTCTGGTCATTAGATTTAAAATACTTGGAAATTAGTTGAAAAATTAGTTGAAAAATTAGACCTAAAAAGAAAAAGAAAATTGTTATGAATATGTTTGATTTATTGATTAACCCAGGTAGTATACATAATGGTTTTGATTTATTAAAGGGGATGTTGTATTATTAAGTAGATGATTTAATATGGTGGGAAATAGATAACTTTTAGGAAATAGAGCAAGATTACATTTAAATAGATAAAATGTGTATTTTGGATAGTAGATTTTGTTATGAATTGAGATAAGGGAAATCTTGGTTACCTAAGGCTTGAAAATTATAAATATCAAAGGTTAAATTGGGATATTGATGAGAAATTAAAAATTGGGTAAAAATTAATAACAGGATATGGATTGTTTATGAAGATTGAATGTAATTAAGATACGTATAAAATTTATTGATAAATGTAATAATGATGTTTCTATTGAGTTGATATAATAAGAACTGTAGTAGCTTGAATATGAGACAGTAAATGTTAAGGGAAAAAGAGAAAAAATATTTGATGTTGTAACTTGAGATTTGTGCTAAAGATTTTGTTATCGAACTATTGATTAACCCAGTCACCACGTTGCTTTTTAAATATTTAAATGGAAAATTGGAAAATTAATAAAATATTATTTTTTAAAAAAAGTTCCTTTTGGAGTGAAGCTGTTCCAGGAGTTCTGCTTTCTTGGGAAGAGGGATTGAGGCAGGTCCTTACACACTGCAGTTAAGTTAGTAACACAGTTGTAATGTGAATCTGGCTTCCCCGTTGACTTTGCTTGTCAGAAGATTGCAAAAGGGGATCCCACGACCACGGGGACACGGCAACCATCATAAATATGAGTCAGTTGCCAAGCAGCTGAATTTTGATCACGTGACCCTGGGGATGCTGCAATGGTTGTGAGAATAAAAAAAGGTCATGTCCCCGTTGTAACGTTGAACAATCACTAAACGAATGGTTATAAGTTGAGGACTACCTGTACTGTGAACCGCTAGGGAGGGGCCGTCTTAGCCCTCTTCCTGCCTGCCAGTCATTCCAAGCTCCGCTGCCTCTTTGCCCTCTGGGAAGCAGCCCCTCCCTCATGGGGCTCCAGACTACATTCCACTACAGTAGTGTTGCTAACCACGTTTTGAATGGTGCTCCCTTATCAAGGAATGTTTCTCAATTGTTTCTAAACTTCCTAAGAAGCTACCTAAGCCCCCCTCACTTTCAACCCCTGAAGGAATCTAGATCCCAATTCAATTGTAAAATAAATTCTAACTAGACACTATTCAGTGTAACAGACCAGGAGAGATCCAAACCTCTTGGTCAGGAGTCTTCAAACGTGGCCCTTTTGTGACTTGTGGACTTCAACTCCCAGAATTCCTCAGCCAGCGTGCCTGGCTGAGGAATTCTGGGAGTTGAAGTCCACAAGTCATAAAAGGGCCAAGTTTGAAGAGCCCCGCTCTTGGTGGACCCTTTGAGTAGTACATGAGTGTTAGAAAAAAAAGACACTGAAGTCCTTTGCTGGACTTGGTGATTTCTGGGACTCCTGCAATAAAATTGGGAGCTTAGTAGAGCCCCACTGAATTTCTCTCCAAGTAAGTGTATGCAGGAGAAGTGCAGCTTAGAGACTGTATCTCTCTGTGGCTCCTCCCTTCTCATTCTGCTGGGGAGTTTTCCAATAGCATCTGGAAACGCTGCTGATGGATCCCGGATCAGAGGCATAAGACAGGCTCGTCATGTAGCAAATCCTGTGTTTGATCTCTCCAGGTAGGGCAGAGTGAATGACACCTGCCCACTAAGTGCTTCTTCCCACTGACTCAATGGGCCGAGGGTCTACTGTAGCATAAGGCAGCTTTCCGCGTGGCCACACGTTTGGGTTTTAACATTTTGCCCCCGTTCCAAGCAGGCCTCTGGTGGCTTCTCTGGAGTGAATTCTCTTGTGCCTCCGGAGAGAAGCTTTATGACCAAAATCCTGCCCACAGTCGGAGCACTTGTACGGCTTTTCTCCCGTGTGGACCCGCCGGTGATTGACCAGGTTTGAGTTCGTGCTGAATTTCTGCCCGCAATCCGAGCACTGGTACGGCTTCTCGCCCGTGTGGACCCTCTTGTGGTTGACCAAGTTGGAGCTGGTGCTGAAGCTCTTCCCGCAGTCGGCACACTCGAAGGGTTTCTCTCCCGTGTGGGTCCTCTCGTGGATGAGGAGCTTGGATCGGCTGATGAAGCTCTTCCGGCAGTAGCTACACTGGTGGCTTTCTTCGCCGGCTGGCGCTTTCTTCCCCGTGTGCAGCCGCTCGTGCTTCCGAAGGTAAGAGCTCGAGATGAAGCTTTTCCCGCACTCGGGACACTCGTAGGGCTTCTCCCCGGTGTGGATGCGCCTGTGGATGATGAGATCGGCCTTCTGGTTGAAGCTTTTCCCGCACTCGGGACACTCGTACGGCTTCTCTCCGGTGTGCGTCCGAATGTGGATGACCAACTGCGGCCGGTGAACAAAACTCTGCCCACATTCAGAGCACTTGTAGGGCTTCTCCCCGGTGTGCACCCGCTTGTGGGTGATGAGGTTGGAGCTTGAGGTGAAGCTTTTGCCACACATGGGGCACTCGTAGGGCTTCTCCCCTGTGTGGGTCCTCTCGTGCACGATGAGCGAGGCCTTGTCGCTGAAGCTCCTGCCGCACTCGGGACACCGGTATGGCTTCTCCCCCGTGTGCACCCGGGTGTGTTTCATCAGGTTGCAGTTGGTGCTGAAGCATTTCCCACATTCTGAGCACTTGTACGGCTTCTCGCCCGTGTGGGTCCTCTCGTGGATGATCATATGCGCGCTGTTATTAGAGATCTTCCCACAGTAGGTGCACGTGTAGAGTTTCTGCACTTTCCGGTTCGGAGGAAACTCAAAACCATGGTTCAGAACCGTCCCCCAACTGGGGGAACCCGTAATCTTTCTCCTTCCCTTCTGGCCTCCCCGCGGGAAGGTGTTTTCTCGTAAACTTCCCTCGTGGAAAAAAGCTGGGATTCCTGATGGGTTTTCCTGGTGGATTTCTTGGCGAGGCTCACTTCCTGCCATCTCTTCCAGTCCACAGACCTGATATAACTTCCCGTTGAGTCTTGCCAAGGACAATCCACTGATGCCTACTTGCGGGCGTCTTTCAAAGGGAAAGGTCTCCTCCTTGTTTTCGTAACCTTGGTCATTGCCTAGAGGTACAAATAGGAGAATCGTGACTAGTAAGAGAGTAGGGAAAATGACCTTGATGGAGAAATGCAACAGAGATTACCTAAAAGCAAAGGGAGCTAAAACATTTTTGAAGTCTAGAACGTCCAGATGACATTCAGAAGCAGCTCAGACAAGCACCTTCCTAATTCAGAGGATTATAAGAGGGGAGACAAGGCGCAGGACAAACAGACTTGCAAGATTCTGTTATTATAGCTCACGGGTTGGCAACCAACAGCTCTGGAGCTGCATGCAGCTCTTTGAGCCTTCTCCTGCAGCTCCCAGCCTTCTCCGCCATTTGCAGAGAGAGAGAGAGAGAGAGAGACAGACAGACAGACAGACAGACAGACAGACAGACAGACAGACAGACAGAGAGGCACTTGCACTTCCCTTCTCTCTCTCTCTCTCTCTCTCTCTCTCTCTCTCTCTCTGTGTGTGTGTGTGTGTGTGTGTAAAAAAGGGAATGGCCTCACGCTGTCCTCCAACAAGCTGACAAGCTTATTGTACAGGGCTCCTCCCTTTGCTGAGTCTCAGCAGGAAGCAGAAGAAAGCAGGAAGCAGCAACTCTGTCTCTCACTCACACACACACACACTCACACTGAGTGGGGGAAGAGGACTGGCAGACCAAGGGCAGGAGAGAGTCAGCCCAATAAAAATGTGTGTCAGCTTGTTGGAGGACAGCGTGAAGCCAGCTTGCCAGGTGAGCAGAAGATCGGAGAGAGGGAGAGAGAGAGAGGGAGGGGAGAGAGAGCGAGGAAAACAAAGAGAGGGAGGGAGAGAGAACTCATGCACAGCAGCCTCTATTTCTTTTTAATTAAACTCTTCAGTCAACCTCTCCCCCTCCCGTGCATGTGCATGTGCAACTTTTGCGGCTCCCAGTGTTTTCTTTTCTCTGGGAAACGGGTTCAAGTGGCTCTTTGAGTGTTTAAGATTGCCGACCCCTGTTATAGCTGTTCTCAATAATTTTAATCTTAGCCTTGCTGTGGCATTGATTTGGTGATCTGGTCTATCTAGTGGGGCTGACTGTCACGGTTCCGATAGATGAGACCAATTAAAGCAGAACTCCGAGGCTTGAGTTTTCCTCTAAGAACATGTTTATTGGCTACAACGCATTGGCATGGTTAAAAGTGAAACCAAGACTAAAGTTCCCTCCAAAAAAGTAACAGTACTGTATTACAAAGTTAAACTTCCCACCCCAGAAACTATGGCAATCAACTTCGTTTCCCAACAGAATAATTTGGCGGGCTTTCTAACATTGGCTCAGCCCCCAGTCTAACGAAAAGAAATGACCTTGGTTCCCACGGGTCAGAGAATTGTTTAGACTAGCTTAAAACTCCCCATTCCTCCCCGCCCCCAATCTTGTGGCAACCGAAAACAAGCAAGATGGCTTCAGCCAGGTTCGTTGCAGAGTTGACACTGATATAATTTGATGTGGTGGAATGTGGTCTGGAGTCCCAGGAGGGAGGGGCTGCTACCCAGAGGACAATGAGGCAGCGGACCTTGGGATGTCTGTTAGGCAGGAAGAGGGCTAAGACGGCCACTCCCTAGCAGTTCACAGATTATATATCTATAGTTATGCTGATAGTTGCTGGAGTCTGGCAAGATTCTGTCTGTTGGTGAACGACAATAGAGAAACTACTCAGAAGTAGCTCCAAGGGTCATTCTTGGTTCTTGGGGCCTGACATCGGGCTGCTTATTGTAGAGTTACAGAATAAATACAGCTTCATAACTTAGCCAGAAACACTGCATCCCCAAGGACCAAATACATTCAACTCTCTAAGGGAGATACTATCTGAGGGACCGTTTCTTCCCAGTTACATCAGCCCACTCCATTAGATCATGGAAAGAAAGCACGCTGCAGATGCCATCGGCTAGGCCAGGGGTCTGCAACCTTGACAACTTTTAAGACTTGTGGACTTCAGCTCCCAGAATTCCTCAGCCAGCATGGCTGGCTGAGGAATTCTGGGAGCTGAAGTCCACAAGTCTTAAAAGTTGTCAAGGTTGCACACCCTAGGCTAGGCCCTACGTTGGATAGGTCCCAGGAGGTGTGCCTTCTCTGCTGCAGCCCCTGCCTTAGGGAACATCCTTTCCCCTGAAATTAGATCGGTCTCATCCTTTATGGCCATTCGCAAGGCCCTCAAGATCTGGTTTTGCTGCAGGGCTGGGGCTCCCAGGGGATCAGAAATCTGTCCCCCCCGTGGCTCCAAAAACAGGTCGCCAAAGGGTGATTACATGACCCCGAGGCACCGCAACCATCATAAACCCATGCCAGTTGCCGAGCCTCTAAATTTTGATCACGTGATTGTGGAGATTCTGCAACGGTCATTAAGTGTTAAAAAAAAGGGCCGTGGCCCTTTTTTCAGTGCCACTGTAACTTTGAACGGTCACTAAACGAATGGTTTTAAGGTGAGGACTATCTGTAATTTCTTTATAACGTTCTTCGGGGCTGGAAAGAGTAAAAATGGGGGTGAGGGGGTGGGAGGACAAGACCTTACCTAAATAACTGGCTTCTTCATCACTCTCTTCCTCGGCCTCAGCAGAGTGATGGCTGTTCACTGCTTCTGATCGGACCTCCTCTGATTTAGCAGAATTAATAGCAGGGACTTCTTCTCCCGGACAGGAATCCTGCAAACAGTAACCAAGTTTTAATGCCAGCTTAAATCTTCACAGACTTCTGAGCTACAGTTTGTTTTGATCGTGGCTGGTAGACTTCACCTCTAGCTAAGCCATGATTTACAACCACAGAGTCTAGGTCAGTGGTGGCGAACCTATGGCATGGGTGGCAGAGGCGGCACTCAGAGCCCTCTCTGTGGGCACGCGTGCCGTCGCCCCAGTCCTAGGCCTTCAGCTGGGTTTTATAAAACCTTTTCGCTTTAGGTCTCTGCCGCCGTGTACAAAAAAAAGGTTCAATCAATCAGTCAATTTCAACTTCTCGCAGGAAAAAAAAAGATCTTCCAAAGTTGGAATTGATTGAACTTTTTAGTCCCACCCAATCTGCCGTTACCACCACAGCCACGCCCACCCAATGGGCCATGCCCACCCAATGGGCCACACCCAGCCAATGGGCCACACCCACCCGGCACCCGACGATGCATAAGTGGGTTTTGGGTTGCAGTTTGGGCACTCGGTCTCTAAAAGGTTCGCCATCACTGGTCTAGGTTCCCTAAACACCTTGAATTAGCCCAACTGTTGTGATTCCTCGCCAGTCAGTGGACCCGGCAGCTGAGTCTGAGGAATCAGAGGAGGAGGAGGGGCCTGGAGTGACATCAGAGTCAGAGGAAGGCTCTGAGGAGCTCCAAGACTTACAGTCTGATGAGGAGCCTGGCCCCTCTACTCGCACTCAGGCTGAGACACAGCTGTGCTGGGAGCCTGAGTTGGACAGTGATGAATCACAGCTGGGAGAAATCCAGGATGCACGAAAACGCCGGCAAGCAAAGAGAGTAGGACAGAGGAATGCAATGGGGTGGCTCCAAAGGCAAAGGAGAAGGCATTAGGAAGCCACGCCTTGGCTGAATAATAAAAGGGAATGTGTGGGAAGGTTCATGTTGAGGATCGAGTTTCTGTGAACTGTGTTTGTTTGTTTTGGACTGATTCAGGTCTGTGAATAATAAAAGGGGATGGTTTTTTCCCTTGGTTCCAGCCTGTTTGTTTGGAAGAGGGATTTCCCCTTGTGAGCTTAACAAGGACTCACCTAGGCTAGGACAGAACATTAACTTCCTGAGATCTGACTGTTAAAAGTTTTAAGAATGAAATGGCAGAGATACCAGGCGGTCCTCAGCTTGACGACCACAGGGGAGCACAACATTTCTGTTGCTAAGTGAGACACTTGTTAAGTGACTTTTGCCCCCTTTTACATCCTTTCTTGCCCCAGTGGTTAAGTTAGTAACGCGGTGGTTCAACAAATCCGGCCTCCCCGTTGACTTTGCTTGTCAGAAGGTCGCAAAAGGGGATCGTCACGTGACCCCGGGACATAAATAGGAGTCAGCTGCCAATCATCTGAATTTTGATCCACGTGACCATGGAGATGGTGCGATGATTGTTAAGTGTGAAAGTGGTCCTAAGTCATTGTAACTTCAAATAGTTGCATATGTGAATGGTTGGACACTACAACCGTCATAAATGTGAGACAATTGTCAAGAGTCTGAGTTTGGATCACGTGACCGTGGGGATACTGCAACAGTCATAATTGTGAAAAACCGTCAAAGGTCACATTTTTTTGTTGTAACTTTGAATGGTCACTAAATACCACTTTACAATGCCTTGGTAAGGCCACGCTTGGAATACTGCATCCAGTTTTGGTCACCACGATGTAAAAAAGATGCTGAGACTCTGGAAAGAGTGCAGAGAAGAACAACAAAGATGATTAGGGGACTAGAGGCTAAAACATATAAGGAACGGTTGCTGGAATTGGGTACCGTATGTCTAGTTTAATGAAGAGAAGGACGAGTGGGGACATGATAGCAGTGTTCCAGTATCTCAGGGGCTGCCACAAAGAAGAGGGAGTCAAGCTATTCTCCAAAGCGCCTGAAGGCAGGACAAGAAGCAAGGGATGGAAAATAATCAAGGAGAGAAGCAACCTAGAACTAAGGA